TTACCAGTAATCAATATAAAGGAAACAATCTGTTCATGGTTCGTGTTAAGCTATCTGAATATTAAAAAGATGATGAAAAGATTAAGCTTCTTTCATTTAAGTTAAAAATCAATTTTTGTATAAATAGGAGGCGATATGGTGTTAACATCAAACTCAACAATAAATGATATTTAACAAATGATTCAAAGAAGATGTAAGGGTAACATCCATCAGGTAAGGGTAACATCAATGACTAAGGGTAACATCAATGAGGTAAGGGTAACATCAATGAGGTACGGGTAGCATCAATGAGACGAGGGTAGCATCAATGAGATAAGGGTAACATCAATGAAACAGGCATCTAAGATTCATTCTACAACTATTTATCCAACAACTGATTAATCATTAAGCAATATAAACACAACTGGACAAACAAGAAAGTCAAAGATCCAAGTTTAAAAAAATCCATTTATTTAGAATTGTCAGAAAGGATATAATGTGTTCAATATCAGGAATTATTTCCTTTATAAATGTAACAAATTAATACAAAAATAACTTGTGATGTTTGCGTTGGGGATTTGTTCTGAAAGGTAACCAATCTATTGATAAATAAATTGATCAGTAAAATAAAGACAGATCCTGAAAAATCAAATCTATTTGGTATTTATCTCAACTATCTAAAATGTCAAATCAATCCAAAGTTATCTATTCTAGGACTTAATTTTGAAAATTTTCTCCAATGGTTCTTTCTATCTGACTACAATCATCATCATTGAAAGGTTTTAAGGTATATCTGTTAACCACAAAAAGGTTTGGTATTGAACGAATACTGAAGATTTTCAGATAAAATGACAAAGTTTTCAATTAACACAGTAACTTATTGTGATAGTACAGCGCAAGGGAAATCACTGTCTGCGCCAATTATGACATCCAAGTTACTGGCCGATTATCAATTATCTTTCCAATAATGGGATCATGCTGACGTTCTCCAGCTATGAAATTGGGAATGAGAAAGTATATTGTCTATTTAATGTTTGTTTGTAAACATATACACCGCTGAACAACGATGGAAAAACTAAGAAATTACAACAAAATTGCATTACTTTCATCAATACGTTTGACCTTCCTAGGACATTAAAACGTGACACTTGCTAAATGATAAAACAATTTTCTCAATTGAATTCATGTCTTTGAATGACTTGGAATAAGGAACAGTAAAGCTATTTTATCAACAAAAGTTCAAATTACAGATCCAATCATTTTTCATATATTTCAGCTTCTCATTATCAATATAGTTAATATTTCATTATATACAGTGTAATATCAATAATATACTATATTCTTGTAAAAGGATGAAAACTAAAGGCTATTAACAGCTTGTGTCGATCACCTGGATCTATGTGAATGTTCTTCTTTAAAGACTAAAATATTAAATCATCTCCTTTTTGTGAATCTTGTTTATTGGTGATCTTTTTTGCTAAAAGAAGTTTCTCTCTATATATATATCTAGTTTTAAAAATAAGAGGCAAAAATGAAAAAAAATGGCAAAATTGTTCTTTAAGGGCAATAACTCCTGGAAGGAGTCAACTGACAGCACTGGTGATATAAGACAGTAAAAGAAGATCTCAATATTCGGAAAATTTCTGCTGATGTCAGATTTTTTCGACCTATATTGGTTTTAAAGATTGTACACAAAACATTATAAACTATATAACCAAATGATGTGGCCAAGTTTGATTCCGATTGGCCAGGTAGTTTCAGAGAAGATGTATGAAAAAGCTAACAGGAGACAGACGATGACAGATGAAGATGACGGAGGGATGAGAATAGTTAAGGTCAAGTGAGCTAAAAATATGCAGTTTCATATTTAAACTACAACATTTAAAAATATTTTCTTTATATTCCTATTTAAGCAACCTGACTTGGATGATTTTAATAATCAGGAAAACAAGAAAACTTGTTCTTCTCACACTATCACTTTTGCATGTTCTGTGAACACCCAAATCTTGGTCAAAACCCTAATTTGGCATATATTTTTAAAAGTTTACATCATAATTAACCTTACATTTAAAGTACTAAGTTTCAAGTTGATGTGACCACAATGTGACCATGATAAACAACCTTGAAACTAATGCAGGAAAGGATACCCCCTCCCTCCTAGACTCTCATAGGCAGGACATAAATAAAATGTACAGAATAACATATTTATTTTTTGTGACATTGGTTTAATGTTTAATTGACATTGGGTTAATGTGTAATTGACATTGGGTGATGACTGTGTCATTGCCATTGTGTCATTGACATTATGCTGACTGTGTCATTGACATTGAGTGACTGTGTCATTACTATTGTGTTATTGACATTATGGTGACTGTATTGCCATTATGGTTACTGTGTCATTGCCATTGTGTCATTGACATTGGGTGACTGTGTGATTGCCATTGTGTCACTGACATTCGGTGACTATGTCATTGACATTGGGTGACTGTGTCATTGACATTGGGTGACTGTGTCATTGACATTGAGTGACTGTATCATTGACATTGGGTGACTGTGTCATTGACATTGGGTGACTGTGTCATTGACATTGGGTGACTGTGTCATTGTGTAATTGTCATTGGGAGACTGTGTCATTGACATTGAGTGACTGTGTCATTGCCATTGGGAGACTGTGTCATTGACATTGGGTGACTGTGTCATTGACATTGGGAGACTGTGTCATTGTCATTGGATGACTGTGTCATTGACATTAAGTGACTGTGTCATTGACATTGAGTTAATGTGTCACTGACATTGGGTGACTGTGTAATTGCCATTGGGTTGATGTGTCATTGACATTGGGTGACTGTGTCATTGACATATACCAAGTATCTCTTTTTATCCATAACAAATCTTCTACTGTTGAAAAATTTTCAGACTATATGAGGCAACTCTCCACCAGAGACCAAATGACATAGAAGTTAACAATTATAGGTTACTGTATGCCCTTTAACAATGAGCAAAAGCCATACCACATAGTCATTTTGATAAACAAAAGACATTAATTTTTTTTTTTAAATTGAAAATCATAAGAGTCCTCAACACAAATGCTTTTACATTTATGATTCAGACTCAATGCTCTCAAATCATCAAATGATTGTTGATTTCTTTTTTTTCCACACAAATTTAGTCTCCCGACGAAATAGTTTTAGAAGTTGGGTCTTAATCATTTCTTTAGCATTCTAAAAACGTTACATTTTGATGACACTTTTCCTACAAGGTTATTAAAGACTGACATCATGACTAGGACCACACAAGAACATCAATCTTATCTTGATTAGGTAACAGATAGTCTTACTATTGATACGGCACTGTAACAGAACTTATTCTACCAGTAACGCATTCCTAAAAGATACCTCTTTTTCATACTTGAATTAACTATTGGAATCATATTGTTTTTATGTAATTTACAGTTATCTCAATACTGCACTTCAATACCTTATTTCAGCATATTTTTTTTTTTGATTTTGGCTGCTTTATCTTATAAATTTTGTTACATAATGAGTGACAATAATAGAAACTTAAAATAACAGAAAAACACAAAGTTTATTATTAGATTCAAGTTCGTTTATTCAAATGAGTTCAAATAGTTCATGATACATGTTTAAAATTAGGTGGGGTGGAGGGGGGGGGGGGGGGGGGGGGGATGGAGGATAATTTATCAATGAATTTTTAAATTATCAGTATCATAATCAATATTTATCATTATTGTAATTATTTATATATAGCAGTTTTAACAGTCACATTACAGAAATTTTACAAATTATTCGTGTTTATATAGTAGGAAAAAAATACATATGTTCAAAACATTTAAACTTCTAACAAAAATAATATATTATTTATTTCTCACTTTTGCACTTGGTAACATCTACCAAATGGAAACTATAGATTCCTAACAGCTGAAATTTCACAATGCACTTAAATTGTTTCATTTTTTATGCATTAGCGCAAGTCATATTTCACACAAGTTATAACAATTCTATCAATGCTTTACATCATATTTATAGTCAGGGTTGTGTAATTAAAGTGTTACTTTTAGTGTCCCATAAAAAATAGAACATTATTTGTACATATCTCATTCTGTAATATTGTACATATTTAATCTTTTCACAGAAATAAGTCATTAGCATAAAAAAGATTAAAATCAACAATATAAAATGCTGGCGGGTCATAAAATGTTCAAAATTTGACACCCATGTTAAAAGATAAATACTGAAAAACCATCCTCTTTGTTTCACCTCCTTTTAAGCCTATAAAAAAAATAAAATCAACATTTTCTGACATTTTAATGTTTTATTTATTGTCACCGAGTACCTTAAAAATACTTTACACAATTAAAACAAGTTTCATTTCATTATAACTAATTCATAATTTAATGTTTAGTCCTGTGATCTCCTTGATATTTTTTCCATTTTATTCCATTTTTATGATGGAAATGCCATATGCTACTTTTTCTCTGATCTGATATACAATTTCCTTGAAATTATCACAATTCACATAATGTTTTGAATGATAATCTTAATATGCATCTTGTGTTACAACTAAGTTTTGTTTTTATCATGTAAAATTTATGTTTATAGGTAAAATATAACTTTTCAAAATATAATTGTGAAAAGCCAAACGAGGAAGAAGAATTTTCCTCAAAACACAAAAAGCTATTTCCTATAAACATCAACAGCTTTTGATGATTGTGTAATAATTCACGCTTTAATTTTCTATTTTGACTTATTTTACCTAGCAAACAGTCCTATTGCATCTAACATAAAAACACATTTTTACAATCATTCATAATCTAGAAAGAAAACAACCAAGCAACTTTACACCCTCCGAAAAAAAAAAAAATGGCTCTGAGATGTTTATGTAATAAATCATTTTTTACCTACAAACATGGCCCTAATTTAAATCCTTCAACAGACCCAGCCCAAAGTTTTAAGATGTTCAATTATTTTCAATTTTAAATCTTCTAATTTAAATTTACTTACCTTTGATTAAACATGAAAAGATTTTATAATTTCATCGCTTCAAACATCCCAATAAATTACAAAGGCGCTATTCACCATCAAGGAGGTGATTTTTTTAATAGATCAATTGAACTAATACTAATGTTATTGAGGGCCTAATGATGAATTTATTTGCTGAGGATTATATCAATATACAGTTGTAATCTAGATCAGGGCGAACTAGTAACTCGATCGGCTCTCCGCTACGCTGACACCTGTCAAACTTATTCAGAACCTCAGTAGTCTGAATTATTTAAATTCTCTTTCTTTTTAAATTTGTGAAAATTATAAATAGTTCTTTGATTGTGTACTTGAAAAATTAAACGGTAGCTACTTGAACAAGCGTCAATTCCTGTACAAACATTAATCTGTTAATCAGCCACTTAATTTGTAAAAGACCACAGAAATTCAAAATAGTTTTTGATAAGTTTTTAACTATATACATTTATTAAAATGTTTGTTGATCATTAATATAAATCTAACTTATCTCAAACAAAATGACAAGTGAGAATAACATTTGAACAAATATTTTCAAATACATGTATTGATTTCAAAACTTCTGATATGGCTTTTTTGTTGTTGTTTTATTTAAAAGAAATATAATTACTTGAGAATTCATAATAGCAATTTTTTTTAAAATGGACAAAAATGTTAGATTATATTGTGATATCTGAATAATAAAAACATTGGAAAAATTTCTGGATTTCCAGTATTTTTGATACCTTATTTTAATTTCATAATACATTTACAATGTAAGACACCAGTTTTTTTCCAACAAACAATTTGACTGATTGTTGCTTGTTTAATGTCCAGTGGCAAATAGTTCATGCAAATTTAGGACAAGGGGGAAGAAAAAGAAAAAAAAAGAATAAATTTAATGCTCTCTACCTCTTGATGATTTCTAACTCAGGAAATAAAACACTTGTCAGAGTACCTTTTTGCTAATGTTTCTGTACGTTCTGTTACTTCCAGTACCCCTATACTATGACACAGCTAGATTATCCAACAAAACATAGGGAGATAACTCATATTAGTCAAGTTAGTATATTATACTTTTTAACAATACATTGTATATATAATATTTTCCATGTATTTATAAAAATAAAAGTTTTAAATCCAAACAACTTTCTTGTCAGTCTAAAAAAAATATTCGTTTTATTTCTATTAAAATAATTTTTCTATTTCTGTTAAAATAATTTTCTTTCTTATGAGGGACGGTAGGAGGAGGTGTCATCCCGAATTCCCCAAAAAATAAAACATTCTTTACCAGATCACGAAAAATTAAACATTAATTCCAGAGTCCTGATAAGTGTAAATCCCAAATTCCCGTAAAAATAAAGGCCCAGTCCCGAATTCCCACAAAACTAAAGGCCCAATCCAAATATCCTAATAAGTTTCTTCCACCCCTCTCTTATCTTTTGCTTTGAGTAATGTATACTGTAGTTTTCTGTACTAGAAATATATTTTCAGAATAGTTTAAGCCTACAGCTCTAACAAACAAGCTTTCAATTTATTTGAAATCTGAACAGAGTAAACCATTTCCTTAGGAATAAAGTAGTTATTGATTTCATGTAAAAAGCATCCTTTTATTTGAAACCTGAGAGAGAAAAAAAGTTAGATTGCTAATCATGAAAAATTTTACAATAAAGGTATTGGCAATTATATATCATTAAAACTGATCCATCGAAAGTCAATTAGGTGAAAAATCCATCAAAATTGTGTCAGTTCTTCTTGACGGCTAAAGATACTGTAAAGACTTCAGAGGAGCCAAGCTCATGCTGATCTGAGAGATGAAAACTCTGTGATGGGTAGCCAAACCGAACCAGGGTTGTTGTGTTACCCAGGAGATACCACTTCAGCAGAAGATAGTCAAAATCACTGAAATGTTTGATAGGCATACCAACACCAAGTCCAATTAAATATATCCAAGCTTTTCTTGAATAGTGAAAAACTTGATTTGTACCTTCTGCAAATATCTATAATTTGAACAGAAAAGAACGTAATTAAGATTATTGGAGAGAATTTCTACTGATTGATTTTAGATTGTGAGGAAACTCTGATTAAATTTATTTTAACCTCGTTGTTATATTCAACGAATGGTTTGATTATCCTCTGGTCTCTAGAGAAACGCTACTAATAAGAAATCTATCGGAGGCTATACAATTAATCGTAGACTTATTGTGACTCTCGTCTGAGATTTAACATATAGTATTCAATATAAATCGTGCACTTTTTCTGATTTACGTTCAATATCAATATCAATTCTCGCCTTTTTGTGCTTTGCTGGTCTTCAACAACAAATATGTAGTATAGCACATTGATAATATATTGACTACAACATTTAAATATTCATTAAGTCTGAAAGCCTTTGGGAAGTGAAAAAACTAAATCAGTCTGTCAAAGGTAATGTTATGGAACACTAAAAAACTTTTACTGAAAGTATTCCTACATATTACTGCATGAATTACCACCATCTAATGTGTTTTTATCTGGTATCTTGTGCCATTCTGATAGAAAAGGAGGAGAGGGTAACCAGTGGATTTTAATTGGACCTAAAATCAACTGTTACTCATAATGTCTCAAATTTGCCTAATTTTGAAAAAATGTTATCTATGCAATATTGCTTTTATTCAAACGATTTTTATTTTTCTAATATTATAAAATCAAGTCAGTAACAAGATGCAAATCATGCAAAGTTTTGACCACATGACTTGCACAGACAGAGAAGGAATTCTAGTACAACAGAACCACCTAACCCTCTCTAATACATCCACATGTAACCTATTTTGTGCTTCTTTTTTAATTTTAAACAAACTTGCATAAAATATGCCTTAAGGGAATGAAAATCTGACAAATTTCATTTACAAAATTGCAGTCAAATTGTGTCATCAAGAACATGACAATATATAAGGGATAAAGAAGATCTGAAACTCTTCTTCATGCAGTATCCACAAAAGCTACTTTCCTTGCTTTTAATTTAGGCAATGGGGTTTAGAAATTTAGACAATGGAGTTTAGAGAGCCTTGTTGTTTATCTTTGATTTTATAGCATCTATTAAATGGACAACAAATGCCAAATGGTTACAAAGGACTTAACTCTGTTTATGGAAGCACCTGTTTAAATTCATGCCTTTGCAACAAATCATCCATTCAAAATAAATAATTATACCAGAACATCTCATCTATAAACAGAAACAGAAAACAGAAGTGGGAAAAGAGACAAATCACATTTAATGTTCATACACATAATATCACATAACAAACAAACAAATTACACTTTTAATGTTCCAACCCTAAGATTGACATAACACTATTTCATGTTCCAACCCAATAATTTTCTTTTTCAAACAGAATCATTCAACTTTATATATAAACTATTCAACAGAATCAATTTCTATTCTCCAAGCAGAGATAAAATTTTCTTACAACAGCTGATCAAAGAGGAGAAATAATTTCAAAGCATAATTAACAAAAGATAAAATACGTAATCATATCCCTATAGACAGGACTATATAGTAATTAAGATGGTAATCTCTAATCATTTTACAAAGTCCTAACTTGTCATACACTCCAACCGGTAAATCAGTTTTTTTGTCAGAAAAAAACATAACATAAAAAAATAAGAACTATAATTAGTGGACGATAAGATTGTAATCAGGAGAAATAACCAAAAAGAATTAGCCATCCTGAGAAACACAATTAGGTAAATTTTGATTAAGCTTAAACTTTTCAGTTGGTTTTATTCATTGCAATGAGACAGTCTTTATCTCATTTTAGTAGGTTTTAATGACTGGGCCTAGTTATAAAACTCTTCTTAGGATGACAAGAAGATGGTTTATGGCAACAAGGGGGCAATAACTGCATGCAGCTTTTTCTTTGGACAAGCTCTTCTGGGAGGGAGGCTGAAATGGTCCAGTCATAAAATGTCACATGCATGATTAACCATCAACTCAAATTTGCATTAGTGATAAAACATTTTTATTGCTGCTCATAGGTTTTCCAAATGAATTTCCAAATGAATAAATCACTTAAAAGATAACTCCTTGCAAATAGTCCTTTGCAGGAATAAATTGTATTAGTTTCCTCATTACTGGAACATAAAGTCAGCCAAGAAATGACTTTTACACATTAAGGAAATATGAACTTTTTTATCTTTTACCAACCATTGTTATTATTTGAACATTAAATCTGGGTCACACTCTAGTGTAATACTTAAACCACATCTGGTAACTACAGATGACATTAATCAAGGACACTAAACATATTTAGTTTGTTGAATCTTTAGGTTCCTTTCCTAAGTCCAAACCTCATCCAAGTTAGTTTTAGGTCATGGGTTTTTTTTGTCATTTCCGGAATTAAGTACTGATGGTTTATTCACAACTTTTGTAGATTTGGATAGACACTCCACATGTAACTCACTAATACACTAATGAAACGAAAATCATCTCTCGATATGTACAGGCATAAAGAAATATGTCTGGACAACTGTTAGATTTTGTAGGGACAGAGTTATGGAAAGACAAGACATTGTTAACACTTTGTTCCATTCAGACGCTGGGACATAAAAAGACAGTTAAACCATTTATGAGATTCCTGTCTGGGTACAAGATCATAAGCATCTTGTAGAGTTTAACTTACCCAATAGTTTTGTTCACACAAAATGAAAGAACCAAACACATTGTCACAGGCAAATTCCAACTCAGTGTTTCAGCTGGTCAAAGACCTGTAAGGGTAAAGTACAATTGTATAATCTGATGTACAAAGACAAAGTACATGTACTATACCTGACTGAATATATAATTATAGTATGCCTCTCTGTCTGATCAAGAGAAGGATATAGCACCATTTTACAAAAAGAAAAGCATCTCAACGAGGAACAATCTAGTATTACAAAGCCAAAGACATATCAATGTTGACAAAGATTAAGCTTAACTACCTATAACGAGGAACAATCTCGTATTACAAAGCCAAAGACCTACCAATGTTGACAAAGATTAAGCTTAACTACCTATATCGGTAATATAAGTAAAACTGAGTAGGATCAATGCAGTACAAGATGAATCATTAGAGATCTGATAAGAAATCTCTCTGTTGTTTTAAGCCTTCGTTAA